GATTTGAGCCTGTAGCTAGAGGGGTGATGTTGGGTTTGAGCCTGTAGCTGGAGCGGTGACGTCAGGCTTGAGCCTGTAGCTGGAACAGTGACGTCAGGCTTGAGCCTGTAGCTAGAGGGGTGACGTCGGGTTTGAGCCTGGGCTCTGGGGCCCCTGTCCCGTGCTCTGGATCCAGACTAGGTAAATTCGATAGAAAATATTGAGTTCTCTGTTGCAGGTCATAGATTGATTAAGACCCAGAGAAATCCCAGCGTTCGTATTCATGTCCATAAGGTGGACCACAGCCAGCCGTCCTGGACTGTGGAGTGGACGTTTGGATACACAAAGTGAAGTGTTAATGCAGTGAGCACAGTAAGGGTACGCTTACGCCTTGAGCCTACTCATCCAAGTAGCGAGAACGTTCACTGTGGGGAGATTCGGTCTCAGGTATCTGCCCGCAGCGCCCCGACTGCTGTTCAGCACAAGCCCCTTTATTTTGTTTAACAAATCAGCTCGGGTTTGTTGACTTCACAGGTCAGCCATCATTCATTCGCTCGGTCACCCGCGCTCATTCACCAAGTCTCTGTGGAGGTTCCCAGGGGGCCGAGCAGGCAGGAAGCCCTGCTGGCCTAGTGCTCACGCTTCAGTGGTGGGCAGACGAGTGTCGGCCCACTTGTCACCACTGTGGGGACGACGCACGACTGGTGGCAGAGGACGGGAGGTCTTGGAGTATTGGGGGTCAGGTGGGGGCAGGTCTGGCGGCCTTTCTCTCCCTCTCCTGGTGCTGGGACAGCCCAGATGTCTTTGGCCATGGAGGTGCCCAGGCAGTGCCTGGGGCCAGCGGCATTGTGCCCAGACATGGTGGTCACTGAGGGCAGTGCAGCCCCAGCCTCAGAAGTGGGGGGACACAGCTTGGCCCCCCCTTATGCCTGTACCCGCTTTCTGTGTCCGACTTGGCTGCTTTCTCAGGACAGTTGGTCAGATTCCCAGCAATCACACTGGGGTCAGTGTGCCCCTGGGATGACTTTGCCTCAGCCATGTGGGGGGACATGGGTGTGACATCCTGGTGGCACCATGCACAGCCCACCACCGCTGGTCTGGGGGCCGCCTGCAGTCTTCCAGGTGGCATTGCTGCCTGGGCTGTTGACCTGAGTCCTTCCAGACGCTCCTCGGGTCATGGATGGCTAGGGGTTTTGCTGACGGTCTGGAAGGGGCAGAGATGACACCTTCTCCAGAGTAGGGAGGCGCGGGGGTCCTCGCTGGGTACCAGCACCTGTGGGTGGGCAGAGGCCACTGAAGGGTCCCTGAGGCAAAGACGTCCACTTGCAAGCAGCCTGGGACGAGGCCCCCAGCAAGGCCAGGTCTCCCTCTCTGCTTCTGCCCATGGGTCTCGGGGCGAGGGGGCCAGACACCCCCCAGGGCCTCTGTAACAGTAGCCATCTCCAAGCCCACGTGGGCACCGTGCCTTCTGAAAACAGGAAGCTGGAGCGTTCCTCCCGCCCCTCAGTGTTCTGTAGATGGATTCACGGGCGTTTCTAAAGCTGACAGTCACAGTGCCATAACCAGTCACTGACCTGTGGGCCGTTCTATCCCCTACGCCTGTCTCCAGGATTAAAGACGTTTCTCTGCCATCACTACTATGAAGGAACGGTGTCTTTCCTGCCAGCCCAGCACACGGTGGGCTCACCGAGGGACAGGAAGCCCTGCCGGGCCGGGTAAGCACCTTTCCTACGTTTCTAGGGCAGATGACATGTCTAAAGCAGGGCTGGGTGATGTTCCTGTTACAAGGGTGCGCACGGAGGTGTCTTCTGAACGTGGGTGCCTCGGGCGTGTGCGGGGCCCTGGGAGTCCCAGAGAGCCTCGCCCCAGCCCCGCGCCGTGGGCAGGGCAGCATGGTCCCCGTGCTGCAGACGAGGACACGAGGGAAGCCAGGCCACAGCTCTCCAGCAGAGTGAGGGCTCCATCCATGCGTCTGCCCGCGGCGGATGGTCTCTTTGCCCCCTTTGGGGGTCTGATGGACAGACACGCACGCAAGAGGTGAGGAAAGACAAACCCACTCCGTTCATCACCGCGGTGCATGGATACTGCGTGGGGCAGGACTGGATGGAGCCTGGGTTTTCGGCAGGAGATGCATGTGGCACCTGCTGGCCTCGCCCCCACCTGGGAGCCATTCCCGTGCCATGGGAGCCCCCCACTCCATCAGGGAAGTCAGCCCCGAGGTCGCGCCTGGGTAGGAGGGTGGAAAGGGGGGCCGGCGGCCCTCGTCCCCGGTGAGGGGTAGGCCCTGGCCCACCGCCGGGCCTGCAGTCCAGCTGCAGGAAGTGAGGGCAGGCGGCCCCCCAGGTCCCCAGGAGTAAACCCGGCCCCTGGGTGAACAGTCGAAGGTCGAGGGGAAGGCGGCAGGCAGTGGGCTCTCCCTGCCCAGCAAGCCCCTCCCCCAGAAGCCCCTTCTTCACCACCCGAGGTCACAACCCAGGAACGGGCATAAGCACCAGCCCAAGGGCGTGGCCTCTCCACCTCAGGCCATGACGAGTCAGCCCCAGCTGCAGACCTTGGTGACCAGCCTAGGGAGTTGGCACGTTGCTTTGGTCCCCTCTTCTGTGTACCCACATATCTGTGCATGCACACAGCCGTTCCTTTAGTGAATCCCCCTTTGCCCACTAATATATGCGATAACATGATTAGGTTAAAGCAGAGCCTTAGCTGAATTTTCCAACCAGTTGTCCCTGGGTGTGGGGCCACGTGGGCGACAGCGGAGCCTCTCTCTGATAATCCTCCTCTCTGCTCTGCAGAGTGGATCAAACCCCACAGATCAGAATGGTTTGGACTTATGAAAGAGCATCATGGTTATCCTGTCCTTTAAATCGTTCAGGGAGCCCTGGCTGTGCAGTGGTTAAGCGCTTGGCTGCTAACCGTACAGTCGGCGGTTCGAGCCCACCAGCCGCTTCTCGGGAGAAAGACGTGGCAGTCTGCTTCCATAAAGGTTTACAGCCTCGGAAACCAAATGGGGGCAGATCTCCTGTGTCCCACAGGGTCCGCTATGAGTCGGAATCGCCCCCACGGCAACGAGTTTGGTTTTCAGAGGTTTAAGTCATTCAGACGTAGGACCCCCTTCCCCCAGCCTCTTCCTTCCTGCTTTCAGTGGAGGGTTTGAGGCCACGAAGTCAGAATATTGAGAGGCAGATGCTGCGAGTCTCATTAGTGACGGGCCACTTTGTCAGGGCAGATGCTTGTCCTGTCTGACACAGCGTGAGCCCAGTGGTACCTGAGACCAAAGAGAGATTCTGGACCAGTGGACCAGGCAGTGTTTCGTTCTGTTGTACTCAGGATCACTGTGAGTCAGAACTGACCCGACAGCACCTAACAACCGCAGTGGCTGCGTCCTGAGCTGGCTGTTCAGCTTTGTTACCTGAAAGTAAATGAACTCTCACCTGCCGGGAGTCCCCCAGTGGACTCTGCACTTGAGCTGTTCATCCCAGCTAACACTGTGCTGACTCCAAGACTCGGTGAGAACCAGCTGTCAGGGTGGAGCATGAGTGTCCTCCTGCCGTGCTTTTTGCTTTTTATGATGTTTATACCTCTTAGAGGAGCTGGCACAACAGGTGAGCACTCGGCTGCTAACCAAAAGGTGGGTGGTTCGAACCCACCCAGCAGTACTGTGGAAGAAAGGCCTGGCAATCTGCTTTCATAAAGATCACAGCCTGGAAGATCCTATGGGGCGGTTCTGCTGTGTCAACTCGACAGCACCCAGCAAAACATTTTAGAGAAGAATATGTTGAGTAGTTTTTAAAAGTAGATCTACTTTTGGAAATTCAAATTAGTGTGTAAAGAAATAGTTCTAGTGAAGCCTTTGAAATTGAGCTGTTTGTTACGTGAAAAGAGCCAGAATATTTCTATATGTGTCAAAGATAGGTATTTCATTGTTACATACACAAATTAAAGAAAAGGTTGTTCTTGTCTTTCAGATGTTTTGTTTGCCGGCAAAGCAAGCAGCAGCTGGAGGAAGAGCAGAAGAAATCGCTCTACGGTTTAGAAAACACTGGTAATTTCTGTTCAGCAGACTCCACACTCTGATCCTGTGTTATAGAATTTTTTAACTTTCGGTCATGGCTCAGTACGCCGCTTCATCTCCCTGTCGGTCTTTTCTTTTTCGTTTTTCTGTGTTGCCCAACACATCTGTTTTCTCTTTGGCTCCAGGCAGCAACAAATTATTGTCATTCACCAGACCTTTGGGGACAGTAGATTTTGTGGAAACTTCCATGTCCGCTGTCTTCCTCTTGAGTCACGGCTGTGACGCCGAGCCAGGGCCCCTGTTCCCTCCTGCTCTAGAGCGGGGCTGTACGCTTGTTCTGTTGAGGTCCAGGTAGTGAGTGTTCTAGACTTGCGGGTGATGCAGTCTCTGCCGTTGTCGTGTGAAAGCGGCCACCGACGGAATGTCAAGGACAGGGTGAGGCTGCGTACCAATAAAACTTTATTTATAGGCACGGAAAGTTGAACTTCATTTAGTTTTCACACGGCACAAAATATTCTTTTGACTTTTTCCAACCATTTAAACATGTGAAATCGATTTTCAGGTCACAGGCCCCATGAGGCGGCGGGCCAGATTTGGCCTCTGGGCTGTAGTTTGCCGACTCCTGTTCCAAGTCATTGTCCAAAAGTCACCCCATGAGAATCAGTGAGGACAGTTGTGTCTTCGCGGGGAGAGCAACTTTGGACAGAGCAGTCGGTACCCCTTCCTAGGGCAGGTGGGCAGTCTTTAGGTGGGTGTCGTCGGTGTTGATGACAAGGAGTCCATGGCATGAAGAATCTGTAATCTAGGGGTGGCCCAGTGACCCCAGAGGTGCCCAGACCAGAGGAAGGCTCTGAGGTGATCTGGTTCCAGCCCCTTTCAGGATGAGAGCGCTGAGCCCGCGCCCGAGTCCCGCGCAATGTGACGTCTGCTTTGGTCTTTCTGTTTCAGAGGAGGTGGAGGAGTGGAAGGTGGTCTGTGGCAAGTTTCTGGCCATCAATGCGACCAACATGTCCTGTGCCTGTCCCCGGAGCCCCGGGGGCCTCTCCCCGGCTGCCCACTTGGGGGATGGCTCTTCTGACCTCATCCTCATCCGGAAGTGCTCCAGGTTCAATTTCCTGAGGTTCCTCGTCCGGCACACCAACCAGTGCGACCAGGTGAATGGAGTGGCTCTCCCCTGTGATCTGGGATGGCAAGCGATTACATTTAGGTGATCTGGTTTATCTAGAGCGTCGTTAGCTGCCGTCGAGCTGATGCTGCTGAAGCCTGTCCACGGGTGGCGTCGTTTCAAGCATCACAGCAGCCTGCAGCCACCGCAGTACAGCAAACTGACAGACGGGTGGCAGTTGGACACCAGAATAGGAATCCATTATTTAATTCAGGGGAAGGAAAAACAGATTTTGTTTGTTTGCGTTTCACTGATTTTTAAACTCTAAAAGTCACAGTTGCTCCTTGTAAAATTTCACATGAAAATATAAACCTCCCATCGCCGAAGCAGAGAGGCGTGAGCGTGTTTATATGCATCCTTCCACCTGGTTAAAAGCTGAACAGAGAGAACGGTGGAGTGTTCCACTGCCCTGGCAGGCTGCTGACAATAAAATCTTTAGGCTCCCAGAAGTGGGTTCTGCTCGGGCCCTTCCGCCGAGCCTTTCCATCATCACTGACATCACGGACATTGTTGCATCTGTGATGTCGACAGAACTGTAACTCTTGGTGACAGTCTCTATTTTTTGTAGAAATTTTTACTTAAATTATATTTAAGTTCTAGGCCAACACAGTTTTTATATGACATCTTAAATAACCATTGCCGTTGAGTCGATTCCGATTCATAGCAACCCTACAGGACAGAGTAGAACAGCTCCGTAGGGTTTCCAAGGAGCGCCTGGTGGATTCGAACTGCCGACCTTTTGGTTAGCAGCCGAGCTCTTAACCACTGCGCCACCAGGGCTCCACATCTTAAATAGCGCTAACTAAAAAGATAATAGAAAATTCTAAAATCACTACTAACTAAACTGCAGAATGCTTTAAAAACTGTCCGCCATTGTGGATGAGTTGTGATTCTAAAATACTGAGTCTCTGACAGGTGCCTGGGAGGGCAGGTTCACTCTCCGTCTCTAAGTAATGGGTCAGAGGTACTGACCCAGTGGGGGTGTCCCCTGAGTAGAGCGCTGTGTGCCCCCAAAAGAAAAGGCTCGCTGGTCCCCTCCCCCGGCTGAGACCTGAGAGGCTTGTCATAGTCCTTTTCACGTCCCCAGCCCAATAACTTCAGGCACAAAATTGTCCCTGTCACCCTCTCTCGGTAGTTTGACTTCACCTTTGTTGAAGTGTATCGTGTCAAGAAGTTCCAGTTTACGTCGAAGCACCTGGAGGACGAGGACACCGACCTCAGGGAGGGCGGCAAGAAGCGGTTCGGGCAGCTGTGCAGAGACCACCCCGTGTGCTGCTGCACCACCTCCAGCAGCTCCTGGAACTGTGACGGGGAGGTTTTGAGCAGCTCTGCCATCGAGGTCAGGTGAGCGCAGGGGCCCTCGGGCCGGGTGAGCCAGGCGGGCGGCCAAGGGCGCAGGTGGGTGGCCGGCTGGGCGCAGGGGCCCTCGGGCCAGGTGAGCCAGGCG